GTTTTTTTTAATTAAAAATATATTTTTATAACTTAATTTAATAAATATAAAAGCAAGAGTTAGGTAATAAATAATGTGATTTTTATCATTTTTATATTTTTATTTTTACTGTTTGAAATAATGTAATTTTTGTTGCTTTAATAAAAAATTTTATGTTATTGTTGCGACATACTTATAATTTATTACTTTAACCTTTTATAGTTATAAATATACCGTCATTCTACCAAAAAAAAAAAAAAAACTATATTATTACTTGAAAATATGGTTTATAAGCTCAGAATATGACCATTTCTCAACCGGTAGTACGCGTGCTACGTTGCAGATAATATATATATATTATAAAATTACATTATAAAAATTATATTTTTTATATAGGCCTATATATTTTGGATAAATATATATAGTTGAAATTAATATATTATAATGTAAATTAGTCTAAATGGTTCTCCCAACTCGTAGCTGGCGATTTACTGATTAAAAGCAATTTTCAAAAACATTATCTTATTCACTAATAATTAATTAGAGTTAAGTTTTTCAGCTGGTAGATCGCAAGCTCCTGCTATTATTCATGAACGAATATAGAAAAAAAAGGTTGAGAAGTATCTAAACGTTGACACTGATAATCATTATAAAATATAAAAATCATTTATTAATCTCTACTGAGAAAAGTTTCTCTCAACCGGTAGATCGCGATCTGCTGATACTATTAGTAAAGTAGCAGGAAAGTAGCGAGTAGTATTATAGTTAGAAAAGATTGGAATCTAAAAATTAAAAGAAATGCTGTAATTGCTATTCAAATCGTTTTAAAAAATGAAAAAAAAAATATATAGAAATTAATCAGAGAAAGTTATCCCAACCAGTAGATCTCGATCACTTTCTGAGAGAAAACAGTTAGAAAAGATTATGAAATTTCTAAAAATAATTTTAAAAATTGTTGAGAAACTCAATTATAAAATTAGTTATTTTCTATAAAACTTAATCATATCTGGACCTAGGAAGAGGTGAGCGTATTATATTTATTTTATTCTTGTACCAATTTACTTAATAATAAATCAGTAATAAATTAACTTGTAGATTTAATTTATTAAACGATCAAGATAAATCTAATTAATATAACTTAAAACTTTGTTAAATCTAAATAGCATATTTTTGAATTTAATCTTCATTTACGGTCGATTAAAAATGAAAATAGTTTTAATATTAAATTGATTACAATTATTTTAAAATTAATGCAATTATATGCAATTTTAATGACAATTCGAAAAGTTTTGCAGTTAATTTATTTATCATTTAATGTTAAAAATTTGATTTTTAATTATATCTAATTATTTTGATTAATTTAATACTGTATATTCATTTTGTACCACCATCTTGGAGAGTTAAGCTATGAACAGGAATTAAAAATAGGCCAAAAAATAATAAAAATAATCATAAAATATATATATAATAAATTAAGGAATTTTTACGGAATAAAGTTATTAAAAAATCTAAAAAAAATAAAAACTCAGGGGTGAAGTATTGCATTGATTAATCTTCAAATAATGGTGATGATAACTGAAGTACCCAGCTTTATAGCTTCAGCATTTTTGAATGATGGATGAGGATGCTTGAAAGATTTCTACAAACTTCCAACATCATTATATGCAAAATAAAATATTTAATTTAAAAAAAGTACATTTTTAAAAATATATTTTTATTAATATAAACTTTAAAAAATTAATTATAAATATTTTAAGCTTAATGATATTGGTTTAAAGTGTTTCATCGGATAAATTTCAATGACGTTTATTTAATCTTTAAAATCTTCTTAGATTAGTTTTAATGAATATAAAAGTTTAATTAATTAAAAAGAATTAATCAAATATTTTATAAAATTCATTAAATTAATTTACATATAATCATTATATTAAGTTTATAAATATTGAACGATATAAATAGATATAGTACTTGTAAAAAATTTATAAGTATAAAATAAAATATACTTATTAAATAATTAGAAAGTGCCCTACAGAATAAATATATATGCTAGTATAGAAATGTTTTAATATAAATATATGTGCAGTCTATTCTCGATATAACGCCCTTCTAAATAGCTCTATTCTTCGTCAAAGCCCAATGAGTGGAAGAAAACTATTAAATGAATGATTTTTCATTGTTACCACTAAATCATGTAACTTTCAAACATGTAATTAGATTATTAATTATATTTAAAAATTATTTTTGATATTAGAATTTATCTCAAAGTTAGTTTACAGGTGTACTGTGCCTCACTTTAGAACGCTTGGGTAATACAGTAGAACCTCGAAAACTCGGCCCTCGATAACCCGGCACTCCGGATAACTCGTCCACACCCTGGCTGGGCAAAAAAATCCTTAGTTAATTAATTTTAATTATAGACAGCTTTATAAAAGTATAAAAGCTCTCATAAAGTATTTTTCTGAGGTCTGTCTTATCAGGTAAATTACTGTACACAGTGTATTCATTAATTTTCATTTTCATGTAGTAAAGGCTCTATGCCTTCATAAAGGACGTACTTTTCCTTTGTTTAAGGGTATTTGGGCAGTTTATTCTCTGTTGTATTCTCAAGTTAACAATACATACAAGTACAGTACACTATTTTCTGAGGAAACACGCATACTTATCCTTTTTTAACCCCATTCCCGATAACCCGGCATTTTCGCAAACTCGGCCACCCTTCGGTCCACATTAGGCCGAGTTTTCGAGGTTCTACTGTATAGCGCTTGCCTTACTCTTAAAGGAAAACCCCTAATTTTTCAGTTATTTTTATTTATTACTTTTACTTTTGTATAGTTTTTTAAGGTCTAGCGCTATTGAACGCTTAATAAATAATAATGTAAATTAGTTTTTAAGATTTTATATATACAAGTAAATTAGAAAAACAGCTGTGATTCGCTTTAAGGCTGTGTACTTAATACCAAATATCGTATAATATAGATGTATATTATATTTATATAATTATTTTGATAAGTATTATAAATAACTTAATATTTTAATTTTTCAAAAATTATATCAAAATTCCGTAAATTAGATTAATTTAATTTATTTAAGAAGTACTGTATATAAATATGAATTGAATTGAATTTAAAAAATAATTTTTAAATTCAATTCAATTCAATTCTTTATTATATGAACCTTAGTTCATAATTTTTCAATATAATTAACTCATTACTTATATTTAAAAATTATTTAATACATTAAAATTTACCTTAAAATACTGCATATATAATTTAATACAGTATTTATTGTAATTGTTATTATTTATAATTTAATTTATTTTATTAATTATTTTTAAAATTATATCAAAATTTTTGAAATTAAATTTAAATTTTTAAATGTATATATATTTTTTTCTTTCTGCTTTTTAAATTATGCAAATCAAAGTTATAAAAGTGGATTAGAAATCTTCCATTTAGAAGAAAAGGAGGAAGAAGAAAAGTTGAGTAGTGACCAAGAGGATCCTTAAATAATATCTTTGGTGATACAAAAACATAGAAAAAAGTGGCTTATCGGATATTGTTCTTAACTGAAACGAAAAGGATTTAGTACAGCTCTCTTTGACTTTCTCCATTTTCTGATTGGAAAATTGTATATAAAGAAATATATATAAGACTCATCTAGCTTGAAATAATATTACAACGCCCACAAATATATGTACATAAATATATAAAATTCACTACAAAATTTTAAAAATTTATAAATTTTTCTTTTCTTTTTTATTGTAAATAAATTCTATAACTTACATTTTATGTTAAACAAAAGGAATAATTGTAATAGATTTCATGACACTTCCACAATAATGGATAAATATATTGATATAAAACGCAGTAAGCTTATATATGTTTAAAAATAATTTGTCATAAAATTTATAATCTTCTGATTTGTAATGTAACTATTATAAATCAGCCCATATTGAATTTATGTAATAAGACCTTATTATAATCCTTATTATAACTTACAATACATACAAAATAATAAAAATAAAACTAAAGCAGGGCAAAATAATAATAAAAGAAACTTTTATAAGTCATAATAAGAGTGTTATTTACTATTATTACTTTATCCCAAATTGTTATTCTTGTTTTTATTATTTTTAATGTTTAAATAATTAGCACTTATCTTATTCTATAATATTTTATTCGTCATTTTCTGATATTTTTATTTACGTAAAATAAAAATATGATAAATTAAATAGTTTACAATATTGTTCATTTTATTTATTTAAATGTTTTTCCTTAAAATATAATAAACTTAACCTTCAACTAACTTGGAGCGGTCTGAGTAACCGTTAAGGAATTTCATTTTTCTACAATTTTCCCTCCTGAGAGCAGAGAAAATCATCTCTCTCTCTCTCCATACGTCTAAATAAACTTCTTCTTCATGTGTCATGCCCGATCCCCGGACGTCGGCGATCACCAAATAAATAAACTTACTGTCTGCTACTTTAAAAGTAATGTACGTGATAATCTGTAGTGGTTTTCGTTTTATTCAAGTTTGTGTTCTCGAACGGTCTCTGAAGCCGCTGCATGTATGTAACGTTACTAGATTTTTCGACCTGTACGCTTTAGCTGTGGCCAAAAAAGAAAATGGATAGACATTTTTCAGACACAGTTAAGACATAAAATAATTTATTTTGTGCATATAATATACAAATTTCTAATGAAAACATAAAAATAATTAATAATTCTGACATTATTAGTCCAAAATTCAGTTCAAACTTGTATAATCAATAACAAACGAAATAAAGCTCATTTCTTATCTTACTAAATTATATTCTTATCTTTAAAATTGAATAAGTCCTTTTAATTACAAATGTTGCATTATAAACGCAAATTAAACTATGCGATCTATGAGACCACACCATGTTACTTAAAAGTAAAAACGTTACCCATGTTGTTAAGGGATAATAATATAAATTTTAAAATATATACTAAAATACAATATTTCTAAAAATATTCAAATATTACAGTTTGTTTTACTTTTATAGGCATTTCAAGCAAATAATACAAATAAACAAAACGAACAATGCCTTAGAAATTTTGATCTCTCAGAATATCGTCAAGTACTGAGTGATGTAGCAGTATGGATATATCAAGCTGTCATTAAAATTATGGAGGAAAAAGTGCAACCACTAATTGGTAGAGTTAACTATTTAATTGTTTTTAATTTTATTCAAGTAATTTTTTTTACTTAAGTAATTTCTTATTAAATTTTATTTGAATTTATTATTATTATGCAAGTTAAGTTTTTTATTTGAATCTGAAAGAATATTTTTAATTTTTTTACATTTACAATTAATTTTTATAATCTTTAAGAAAAAGTTTATAGAATTTAATCATTTTTAAACAAATATTTTATATCTATTATTTATATTGAAATTTTTATTTGTTGGTATAATTTAATATTTTATTGAAATGACTGATACTTTTATTACTTTCATAATACAACAAATTTATTTCATGAGAATCATTTCTAATTTATATATAATTTTTTTTAGTGCCTGCTATTTTAGAGCATGAAGCAATACCAGGTATTTCTAGTAAACCATCAGGTATGAGAGGAAGATCATGTAGTGCAGCTCGTGAAATAGAATCATTTATAGAGCCTCAGAAAGCACTGGCTATGTTGCTTGAAGAAGTAAAAATTAAATAATAAATTTCTTTGAAATAATGAATTGATGATGAAGTAATTAATATTGTAATAATTTATTTTTCATTTAAATTTCAGCTAAACTCTGTATTTGTTATTCTAAGTGTGCATGGTGTAGATCCTGAACTTACATCTCAAGTTTTCAAACAGGTTTAGATTTATTAAAATAAATTTTTAATATGATTTTTTATAATTGAACAATTAATTCAGTAAGCCCATTAAAAATTTATTAACATAAATTTTTTAATATTGTTACAGTTATTTTATTTTATTTGTGCTGGAGCACTGAACAATTTATTATTGAGAAAAGATATGTGTCATTGGTCCAAAGGCATGCAAATCAGGTAAATTTTCATTGATTTTTCATATAACCAAATACAATAGACTTATGATCATCCAGCCTTCAATTATCTGGCCTGTGTATTATCTAATTCACTTGACTACATATAAATAATTTATCATTATATAAATTTAAATGAATAGTTTTGGTTTTATATTAAAATATTTTATGGATATATAATATTGTTAAGGTTTTTATTTATTTATTTATTAGAGAGAGCAAGATTCTAAAAATGTTTAAATAACCCTGTAACCAAAATTAACTGCTTCAGTAGATATTAACACTCACAAAACTTTTTACAGCAGCAATAAAACTTTAATAATTAAAATTTTTGGTCATTTTTAAGGACAATTCTCAGGTTATAAACTTTAAATCAGTTGATTTAGAAATGTATCAGAAATAACATAGAACATAAAACATAAGAACATTGAATCAGTTTTAAATTGAAACAAGAAAATAATAAAATAAAAGATAAAAATAAAATAAGTAAATACAAATAACAGATAAATAATAAAATAACATAAATAAATGATATAAATACAATTAATACATATACAATATTCATGCTTCATAATGCTAAAATTGTCACTTGATGATATTTTTATTAAAGTAGGAATAAAATTCCTAGTCTGCTTATTTTGACATTTAGTATGAAATTGAGTTACAAAGCACATTTCAGGAAAACAGCAAAATGTCTAGCTCCCTTGTGATGGTAGTCCCATGCACCAAACGCCTAACAATTTCATCACTTCATGTAGAAAGTTCAGGCAGAAAAGTAGGAAGTGATGTTGAGAACCAAAGGCAATTCTTATGCAATGCTGCCCTGTGTTTCCAGATTGAGGAATTTTTTGATGTGTCTTTATTTTCACTTTGATCTTTTTCCAGTAGACTAAAACAAAATCTTTGACATGACAGAACATGTGAAACTGTTTAAACATTGTGATAAAATGTGTTATCGAGAATTATTCATTAAAAAATTATTCAAAAATGATTCCTGTTGCTAACTTTTAAGTGATGGCTTAACATGTTACTTTTGCTTTTTATACACCAAACTGATAAGGCTACCAGCACCTGTATTAATTAGTAAATAAAACTGGTGATAATAAATAATTTGAAGTGGTGAGAAAAAATTAAAAATTGACAAAATGGTTGGTAAATTTTTTAAAAACTTTTCCAGAGTGATTTCTGCATATAAAAGATGTTAGCTGTAAGGGCACAAGAAAGATTAAAAAGGGAATAAAAATAACATAAAAGAACAAATGCAAGTGACTTTAATTTAGGAGATACATGATTAAAAAAACAGCCATCCAGGTTATACAGTATCTATCTTGTACCAAGCTCTCCATACTGAAGATAGCATGTTTTGATCCTTGTAAATAACAGAATACCCCTCACGCACATACTTATAAATCTGCAGTGCTTCAACATGTTAGATATAGTGCCTATTTCTGGCCCCCTTGATGAGTTTAGCTTGTTTCCATTGTACATTAACTGAATCTGCTAAAGCAGTGGTTCTCAACCTTTTTTGTTGATGTACCCCATTAGCCCATTAGTTGTTTCTCAAGTACCCCTTATATTTTTTTATGTAAATTTTATAATTACTGCGTTAGATGTATACAACCCTTATAACTGAGCGCCATAAAAAAAACTAACTAACTATAACTAAAAGTGAATTACTTATTTTACGTAAATAATAATAAATTTAATCAGGTACATACATTTATTTATTATTATTTGACAAGTATATTATATAAAATCACAGAAGTCATTTCATTACACGCATAAATTACATTTTCTAAAAATAAATAATTATAATTAACGATAAAGAAANAACATAAAAATAATTAATAATTCTGACATTATTAGTCCAAAATTCAGTTCAAACTTGTATAATCAATAACAAACGAAATAAAGCTCATTTCTTATCTTACTAAATTATATTCTTATCTTTAAAATTGAATAAGTCCTTTTAATTACAAATGTTGCATTATAAACGCAAATTAAACTATGCGATCTATGAGACCACACCATGTTACTTAAAAGTAAAAACGTTACCCATGTTGTTAAGGGATAATAATATAAATTTTAAAATATATATATAAAATATTTATCTTAAATTTTTTTGATTTTCTGTTATTTAGAATTTGACTTTAAGATATATTTTACATAACTTATATACTGTATATATATATATATATATTTATATATATATAAGAAGCTTATATATATATGAAAATGAGCTACAGTAAAACTTTTTTACATGTAACACTCAGAACATTAAAAAATCAGTTTAAAATGTATAAATCATTAACTTTATGTTTTTATGTTCAAGGTTTTTTGTCTTATAACTCAGGCCTTCAGGACTTTACATGCGTACAAATTTTCTATACTCGGTTTTGGTAATCTTCAGGATAATCCAAATATCGTTTGTTAATATTTGATATTGTACAAAGTCTAGGATCTCAGCTGAGTACTCAGAATCCAGTACAACATCGTAGCCTATTATTTAAAACAGAGTTAAAAACCATTTATTGAAATCAATAAAATATTTACAATTCAGTTACCGGTTAGGTAGAGAGTATTTACATGGGCACATTGGCCGGCAAGTAAGCGTAGAAATGGGTTAAGAGGTGAATATGTAAATGGGGCGGTGCCCCTAACGCGTTCCATGGGCACTTAGCCTGCTAGAATATAGTACAGAAGTGTGGACAGAGTCCTAAACGCGCTCCAAGGGCTCGTAGCCTGACAAATATACAGAGGTAAGTTTGACACGCGCTTACATGGGCATAAGGCCGATGAATTGCAGTACATAAGGGAAATGCGCTACAGGGCGAAGGAGTTTTGTAGATCAGTTCTGGTAGCGAGGGCCAAGATGACTAGTGTAGATGTCCCTGCTGCCCTTGATACAATCGCTCACCATTAAGCGTCACATGAGTTTAGCATAGTTTCTAGAGATACCTAAGCGCTGGATGACACCTTCATTGGCGGCGTCGTAGCCCCCAAGGCCCCAACAATGAAGGCGTCGATGTAGGTATCATAGCCCTGGCGTCTGTAGTGGGTTGCAAGGTCTTCGTACTTGCGGATCTTCTCTTCTCTGGCCCGATTGAAAGCGTCCTCGCCGTTTTCGAATGGTGTATCTATGTCAACGATGGTCGCAGTCTTCGGGTTGTTGTTTATTACCACAAGATCCGGTCGGCAAGTGCTGTGAAAGTCCGGGATTTGTTGATTTGTGAAGATCTTGAGATACTACACTAGATATGATCCATGTGATACGGGCTTTAAATTATATAAACTTATAGAGTTGTCAGGGCCTTACATAACCTAAACTCGCCACTTTACATTAAAACTAAAAGAAAAAATAATAAAAAATTTAATTTAATTTTTTCAATTATAACTGTAAAAGTAATAAATTTTTAAAGTATAAATATATATTAAAGTAAAAGAAAAAATTAATAAATAAAAGTGAGATAAGAATTCTAATTTTAACAATTGTAAGAGGTTGATTTTATTAAAAAAATTTTGAATTTTAATCTTCTTTCCACTGTCATACTTAATGAGATTATTCATATTATTTATTTTTTAACTTTTTGAGACGAAAAAGAGAAGAAAGAAGAAGAAGAAAATAGCATTTAATCAAACAATTAGAAAATAGAATTTTTTATAAGAGAAAAATTGTAATAAATACTTTAATATTCCTTCTACTCTTTTGTAACATTACATGAACATACACACCTGTTATATCGATCTTTTTCGCTTCTGTAACGAGAAACAGTATAACAGGATATCATTTATTTTGTAGTGTTAATNACAATTAAATATTTCATTTTTTACAATGAAGAAATAGCATTTAATCAAACAATTAGAAAATAGAATTTTTTATAAGAGAAAAATTGTAATAAATACTTTAATATTCCTTCTACTCTTTTGTAACATTACATGAACATACACACCTGTTATATCGATCTTTTTCGCTTCTGTAACGAGAAACAGTATAACAGGATATCATTTATTTTGTAGTGTTAATGGATACCTTCCCTTCTAACATGAGTTGTATATTTGCAATTCAAATTCAAACTCATATCTTTACTAAACCTGAATATAAAATAACCTTTCCTATCGTTCGAATTTTTTTTTTAATTTATTTGAATATTGTAAATGTAATTAATTTCCAAGAATTCTTCTTGATAATCTGATAATAACTTACTATATTGAAATTAAATTCTTTTCTTTGCATTTCGATTATATAAATGCTCTTAAAATTATCATTTTTTAGAAGAAAAATGTATATTTTATACGTTGAATTTTTTAAAAATAATTTTTATATTATATATATTTTTTATTTTTAAATTTATTAGTTTTATATTTTTATCGCTTCGGTAGTTGCTTCGATAGTATTTTATAATTTTTTTTTCAATATTTTAAATGTAATTATTGATAATTTCAAGCAGGTCTTCGTAATCTGATAGTGATTTACTTTATTGAAATTACATTATTTTCTTCACATTTATATTTAAAATGCTGAAAAAAAATTTTTTAATGAATTTTTTTAATAAAATGTTTAGACATTTGGAAATACTTTTTAAAAAATTTTAAATATTTTTAAAATATATTTTTAGAAAATATAAATAATGATCTTGTATTGTATTTTGTTAATACATTAATACGTTGAAACGATGATCTTTAGATTTTTATATATTTATAAAAATTTAAAGATTATCCTTTAAATAAATTAAAATAATTATTTTTATACATTTTTTTACAGATTTTCATAAATATTTTTTATAAAATAACAATTACCTAAATAATGACTTTATAATGTATTTACTGATGCATCGATGCATTAAAGATTTTTTAAGATAATTATTTAAAGATGTTTTAAGAAATAAAAAGTTTTAGATGTATTAAAATAGCAATGTTTAATGTTTAAATGTTTAAAAATACATTTAAAATTTATTTATTTAAATTTTCTAATAAACAGTTTTAATTAATTAATACATTTATAAAAAAGATTTAATATTTAATTTTTTTNAAAATTACATATAATTTAGGTGGATTTTTAAAATTAAAAATTCACGTAAATTATATGTAATTTTCATTATTTTTTGAATGAAATCTAAAATTTTACTGATATACGAATTTAAAATGATTAATTTTGGTTAATTAAAATCAAGTTTAATGTTTTCCATTTGAAATTGGGTCTGCATTAATGTAGTGAATATTAAAGCTTCAGTTAGCACATGTAATGTGCAAACGAATAAACGTATGTTATCAAAATTTACCTCCTTTCTAGCTAATGTTTACGATTAAAATTTAATAATATTAGTTTAATTTTAAAAGAAAATGACTGTAAATATCATAAAGAATTTTATTTTTACCTCATACTTTTTTCCAGAATGCATGAATTCAAAAACACTATTTAA